AAATCTGGCCGTTAAGTCCTAATAGCATTTTAAATAACAAAAGAGAAATACAAAAATACAAATGATAATTTTATAACTATGAATAATGTGTCCAAGTGCATTGTCATTTTCCTTAATTGCAGCATTCCCTTTAGGCTCATGCTGCAAACTTTCAAACTCGTCTAAAATGCGTACCTTGCTCGTACTGTACATTTTCATATTATTACTATTATTTTTTTAAATTTATGATGAAAATACGAAAACAGAATAATTATTAGTTCTATTAACATGGGCAAATTAAAAAAAATCTAAAAATACTTGTTCCTATTTTTATTAAAAACTTGGCATTTTTTTTATGACAATTTATTGGAGGGATAGAGATATTAGACAAAATCTGCCAACTAACTCAAATCTAAAGTTTGCCAGACGGAAATCATCGAGAAGTTTTATATGAAAAGAAAAATTAATCCTAACCTAAAAATATACCGCATAATGTGGCATATCATAAATGTTTTAGCCGAAGTAATAATAATATTCATTCAAGGATGGAAATATAAATAAAAAAATTGGCCACAGCTTATTTCAATAGAACTTCCCTCGCCCCTGAAGTGCAACCCAATAACGCTTCTTTGATTTTGTGTTTTTTTGTGTGATAACCTCTATAAAGTAAAAGGAGCGCAAATTTCAAGTCCGCGGTCCGTACAAGTGCGGACAATATGAAATATATTTAAAGCAGATAACCAACGGGAAAAAATGTTTTTCGAAAAATCGAAGTGATGAGAAATCGAACAATGGGAAAATTGGAACATTGGAATGTCGATAAATAGAGCAGTCAAGAAATTAAAAAAAATTAAAAATGAAAACATTGATAAACTGAAAATTCGAACTATTTAAAAATCGAAATATATAAAAAATTGAGAAATCGAAAAGTCGAAAACTTTCAAAAATCGAAAATTAAACTAATAAAAAAATTAAAAATCGGAAAAACCAAACAGAATAAAAACATCGGGAAGTTGGGAAGTCAAAAAATCGAAAACTTAAAAATTGCCAAAACTGAAATGTTGAAAAATTGAGAAATCAAAAACTTGAAAAATCGAAAAATCAAGTAGAAATTTTTTGAAAATCAAAAGACCGAGATGCTGGGAAATCGAAAATTCGAAAAATTTGAAATTCCAAACATCAAAAAATCGGAAAATCGAGAAATTGAAAAGTTCCTAAACTGAAATGCCCAGAAATTGGAAAATCGAAAAACCAAGACATCGAAAAATTGAAACATTGAAAAATCGAGAAGTCGAAAAATTGTGTAATTGAAAAATTAGACATTGGAAAATTGAAAAATAATAAAAAATCGGGAAACGAATAATTGAAATGTCGAAATCTCGAGAATTCGAAAAATTAAAAGATCGAAGAACTGATAATTCGAAAAATTTAATAAGCGAAAAGTTGAAAATTGAAAAACCGAAAAATTGAAAACAGGAACTCGAAGAATCAAGATCGAGAAATAGAAACATTAAAAAATTCAAAAATCTAAAATTCGAAGATTCGAAAAATAGAACAATCTAAAAGCTGAAAAATTCCCAAAACTGAAAAATCGAGAAATCGAAAATTTGAGAAATTGATTCGAAAAATTGAAAAATTCCAAAACAGGAAGTCGAAAAATGAAGATCGAGATATAGAAGCAAAAAATTGAAAAATATAAAATTTACAGATTCGAAAAATTAAAAAATAGAACAATCTAAGAACTGAAAAATCGAGAAATCGAAAATTTAAAAAACTTAAAATTGAAAAATTGAAAAATAAAAAAACTTAAAAATCGAAAATTTGAAAAACTGACATATCGAAATATTGTAAAATAGGAATATTGAAAATTAAAGAAAGTGGAAAATCGAGGAATTGAAAAATCAAAGATTGAGAAGTTGAAAATCGAATAAATGAAAAATTGTTTTCTAGAATCGAGAAAATGAAAATTTAAAAGCAGGAAAATGATAAATAAAAATCGAGAAAAATTGCAAATCAAGAAGAAACGAATAATTGAAAAAATAAAGAAAACAGAACGAAAAATTGTGATCAAACAATTGAAAAATTGAAGCAAGGAAAAATTGAAAAACTGAAGAAAAATTGGAAAATTCCCAAAACTGAAAAATTGGAAAATTAAAAAACCAAATGCCGATATGTATTGTAAAATAGGAATATTGGAAATTAAAGAAATTGGAAAGTTGGATAATTGAGAAATGTAAAAATTGAAAAATTTTAAAATTGGGAAATCTAGGAATTGAAAAATCAAAGAGTGAGATGTTGAAAAATTAAATAAACGAAAAATTGTGATATAAAATCGAGAAAATGAAAATTTAAAAGGGGGAAAGGAAAAACAAAATTGAGAAGTTGAACAATTGAGGAAACGAAAAATTGGGAAATAAAAATTAAAAACTAAGAAACTGAAAAATCAAAAAAACTAAATTGTAAATCTGCAAAATTGCAAATTGAGAACAAACAAAGAATTGAAAAAATAAAGAAAACAACAAAAAATTGTGATCAAAAAATTGAAAAACTGAAGAAACGAAAAATTGCAAAACTGAAGAAGAAACAAAAATTCGAAAATTTGGATAATTGAGAACGAATCGAAAAATTGAAAAATCTAAAATTTAGATTCGGAAAATTAAAAAATAGAACAATTTAAGAACTGAAAAATCGGGAAATCCAAAAATTTGAAAAATTGAGAAACTGATTTAAAAAAAAATGGAAAATCGAGGAATTGAAAAATCCAAGATTGAGATGTTGAAAAATTAAATAAACGAAATTGTCATATAAAATCGAGAAAACGAAAATTTAAAAGGGGGAAAGGAAAAATAAAAATCGAGAAGTTGAACAATTGAGGAAACGAAAAATTGGGAAATAAAAATTAAAAACTAATAAACTAAAAAATCAAAAAAATTAAATTGTAAATCTGAAAAATTGCAAATTGAGAACAAACAAAGAATTGAAAAAATTAAGAAAACAACAATAAATTGGAAAACTGAAGAAACGAAAAATTGCAAAACTGAAGAAGAAACAAAAAATCGAAAATAGAGCCGTCGAAAAATCGAAAATTTGGATAATTGAGAACGAATCGAAAAACTGAAAAATCTAAAATTTAGATTCGAAAAATTAAAAAATATAACAATTTAAGAACTGAAAAATCGGGAAATCCAAACATTTGAAAAATTGAGAAATTGATTCAAAAAATCGAAAAATTCCAAAACTGAAATATCGAAAAATTGAAAAACCTAAAAACCAAATACATAAAATAAAAATATTGAAAATTAAAGAAATTGGAAAGTTGAATAATTGGGAAATGTAAAAAATGGAAAATCGAGGAATTGAAAAATGAAAGATTAAGAAGTTGAAAAATTGAATAAACGAAAAATTGTGACATAAAATCGGGAAGTTGAACAATTGAGGAAACGAAAAATTAGGAAACAAAAAATTAAAAACTAGGAAACTGAAAAGTCAAAAAAAATGAAATTGAAAATCTGAAAAATTGCAAATCGAGAAGAAACGAATACTTGGAAAAGTAAAGAAAGCAGAACGAAAAATTGTGATCAAAAAATTGAAAAATAAAAATCAAGAACTTGAAAAATTGAAGAAACAAAAAATCGAAAATAGAGGAATGTAAGAACTGAAAGATCGAGAAATCGAAAAATTAAAATAAAGAAGTCGAAAATTTGAATAATTAATAAATGAATCGAAAAACTGAAAAATTTTAAATTTAAAGATTCGAAAAATTAAAAAATAGAACTACACATGTATTGTAAAATAGAAATATTGAAAATTAATAAAATTGGAAAGTTGGATAATTGAGGAATGTAAAAATTGCAAAATTTTAAAATTGGAAAATCGAAGAATTGAAAAATTTAATAAACGAAAAATTGTTGTACAAAATCGAGAAAATGAAAGTCTAAAAGCGGGGAAATCAAAAATAAAAATCGAGAAGTTGAACAACTCAGGAAACGAAAAATTGGGAAATCGAAAAATTAATAAATACTAAGGAACTGAAAATTCAAAAAAATGAAATTGCAATTCGAGAACAAACGAATAATTGGAAAAATAAAGAAAACAGAACGAAAAATTGTGATAAAAAAATTGAAAAATCAAATAATTGGGAAATTGAAAAACTGAAATATCGAAAAATTGTTATACAATTTGATTTTCATATTATTCTCCACTCTAAATGTTGTGAAACTTTTGTTTTGGAACCGTTTTATTCGCTATGATTTAAAAAATAAATAAAATAAATTTTCTGAACTAGTTTTGTTTAATGAACATCTTAGCAGACATATTAAAATAGAGAGAAGACCTGACCTACCTGAAGATGTTCATTAAACGAAACTAGTTAGGAAACTATTTTATTTTGTTTTATTTGGTAAAATAATGGAGAATAAAACGGTTCCAAAACAAAAACTTGCAACATTAAGATTTTCTCCATTCCAAAAGACTTAGCACACAATTAAAAATCTCAATGTCGAGGACATGAACGGATAAATTTTGATTAACGATTTACCATAGTTCCGTTTGTAAGATTTCAATCGTAAATACGATTTCTTGATTCATACCCTCCAAAAAATTGTGACGTCACCAAAAAAATATAGTAAATTCTTAGTGAAAACGACACTGATATTTGTGCTATCGATTTTTTAAATTACAAAGTGTGTGTTATATTTTTTGCTTGATACAGTTTAGTTTGAAAGCTTGGTTTTTACGATCTTGGTATAATTCAATTTTTTTTTTTCATATCAAGCAGAAAGCCATAAATAGCAGTTCGCAAGTCTTAGGTACAGTAATTTATGACGATTTTCGTTTCTCAGATTTTGGTTTAGCTATAAATATGTGGGCCTTGAAACATAGTGTAGAAAGCTACAGACCTTCCTTGTAAAAATTGGGGAAAAAAAGAAAACGGGGAGCGTTTTGACATAGTAAACACCGTCATGGCGATAATCATTTGTGGCGGCGCAATGGGTTTGCTAATGTGTTGTGTTGTTGAGCAGCACGAGGGGGGTGCAAACCCCACTGAGTCTATGACCAGGGCCCTCATTAGTGACGACTCTATAGCCCGACAAAGCACCCTAGGCCCCGTGCAGTTGGGGTACGTATCACCTCCACATTATACAAATCACCTGTAGGACACACTATACATAGTACAAACACACCCCAATCCTTACTTACCACCACGCATTCAAAACAAAACCATAACGTGACATTACCTTTGGTCACAAGTCCAAAGGTCGACGAAGTTAAATCCTGTTGATGTCTTGATAACGTTGATTGTTTAAAGATATTCAATTGAGTGGAAAAGAGTACTAATAGTACCGTGTGTTCCGGTAAGTAGGGTTAATAGTCGGAATTATAGCTGAATTAGAAATTAACAGTGATTTACTCGATTAAATGTACCATTTGTGGCGTATCCTTTCCCAGAACCGCATTGTCAAATAGTCACATCCCTCATCCCTCATTTGAAACGAAAATGAATAATTGAATTTTATTGAACAGTTTTCCGGAAAAACAATTTGAATCAGAGGAGTTCTTCCCATGGTCAGTACTTCTGTTTCCTAATTGTCCTAGTTACCAAGAACCAAAATTTACCACGACGATTCTAGCTAAATTTTGGTTTTTGCTTAATTCTTGTGCTTCCTGTGTGTAGTTTTAGTGTTAGTCTGAAGCACCGATGTTGTTTTTTTGTGCTTTTTAATTTTCGCCTAACGGTAGCATTGTGTATAACGATGTTGTCACATTAGACCTCTAATATTGGCTATTATAAAAGGGGGAAAGGGAGACAAAAAAGACTCAAAAAAAGATGTGCTGGTAAGAACAACACAATTTTTAACAAAACTGTGTCTTTGGAAAAAATCAAAAATCTGTGGATGCACAACAGTTTTGTTTTTGCTGCTAAGGAGCTTTCATCGTTTGCACTAGTTAAACTTCGAAAACTAACCTTATGTTCTAATATAGCTTTGTCGCGGGAGTTATTCTTCGTGAACGTATTCCAGCGTTTGAAAGGATGCTGTGGCGGGCATGCCGCGGAAATGTTTTCTTGCGTCAGGCCGAGATCGAAACTCCCCTTGAGGATCCATCTACGGTAAGTATAACCAGGTTTGAGAATCTTTGCACACATGTGACCACACTAGCGCTAGTACTAGTGTGCAAGGTTGTCTACATTGGTTGGTATATTGTGAAGTCGACAATGGAGCACTTAATTAATCAAACCCACAGTTGTAAACATTCTGGATGGTACCTACACTTCACAATGATTTATGACGGTAGACCAACCACACAAAAGGGATATTATTCTCCAGTACTAGTTACTAGTGCTATATAATTGTACAGAATTTGGCAAAATATACGTGAGCAAAATTTTTGAGCAGAGAACTCAAGGCGATCAGCCAGGGTCGTAAATAGTCCAAAAATGTATAATGTTGACTTTAAGATGTAAATAAACTCTCACTTACGCGTTCAGATTCTCTAGATTTTCTAAATACTCTAAATTCTCTGTGCGCTGAAGACCTTCTAAGTTCTGTAGACTCAATCCTTAAATTGCCTAGACTGTCTATGTTTTCTAAAGATTCCATATTCTCCAAAATCTATTTCTGTAGACTTGCTAGATTTTATAAATATATACTAAGTACTGTTCCATTTAATTGTCTAGATTCTCTACGTTGTTTATAGTTTCTCGATACTATATTCTGTAAATACTTAAAGCTCTATACAGGACTTTTTACTTTTTGTGTACTTCATACACTCTAGAGCTTCTAGGCATTCTAGATTCTCACTTCTAGGTAGGCTTTCTCCGTTTTGTGGGTTCTCCAGACTCTACAGTCTTAAAGCTCTAAACTAAAGGAGTTCAGAACCTTTGGATTTTCAAAAACTTCTAAATACTCTAGATTCTCTATAATTTGGAGGCCTTCCAAACTCCTAGACTCTCTAAATTTGCTTTACATTCTTCAATCCCTAAATTGCCTAAACTGTCTATTTTCTATCATTGTGTGTGCTGCACAAGTTGAAAAATTATTTTAAAAAAAGTTTCAGTTTTTCAATTTTACGATTTGCAATTTTTCGTTTCGGTTTTTAATTTTTCCAGTTTTTCAATGTTTGGATTGTATAATTTTTAACGTTTTCGATTTTAAGTTTTTTCATTTTTGCTTCTTCAATTTTCCGATTTGAATTTTTTCAATTTTTCATTGTTCTTTTGCTTCTTCAGTTCTGAGAATTACAATTTTTCGATACACAATTCCTTGAGTTTTCAGTTTTGCGATTCTTCAATTTTTTCATTTCTTAAAATTTTCTATTTGCAATTTGCATTTCGGTTTTTTGTTTTCTTTATTTTTACAATTTTTTTAATTGCACTTTTCTTTATCTATTTTTCATTGTTTTTGTTTTTCTAATTTTACGATATCCCACCCTTTTAGTTTTCTTTTTTAAATGTTTCAGTTTTTTGTATTTTCTTTCTTTTTCGAATTGTCGGTTTTTCAATGTTCTGATTTTATGTTTCTTTCTACAATGTGAAAATTTTCAGTTTTTGGATTTTTTCATTTTTGAAATTTTAGATTTTTAAGATTCTATAATTTTTCAATTTTATAAATTTTGGGTTTACCAATTTTTCACTTCCGCGTTTTTCTTCGTTCCAATTTTTCGTTTTTTTTTCAATTTTTCCGATTCTTTAGTTTTTCGATTTTTCAACTGTTCGTATTAAACGAAAATTTCGAAAAAACTCAAAACTAGAAGTCAAGAATTTGAAAACTAAAAAACCGAAAAATTGAAAAATCGAAAGGTTAAAAATTGAGAAACTTAAACATGGAACGAAAAAGTGCAAAATCAAAAAACGAAGTGTATTGTAAAATTGAAATTTTAAAAATTAAAGAAATCGGAAAGTTGGATAATTGAGAAATAAAAAATTAAAAATTCCAAAAATTTAAAAATCCAAAAGTTGAAAATTCGAAAGATCAAGCAATGGGAACAAAAAAAACGAAAAATTAAAATGTTGAAAAATTGAGAAATGAATAATTTGGAAAACCGAGAAATTATAAAGTCGAAATATTTTAAAAGACGATAAACCGAGATGTCGAGAAATCGAAACATCTAAAAATAGTAAAATCAGAAAACTGAAAAATTGGAAAGTCGAAAAATTTAAAAACTCAGACATTTTAATTTTTTAAGAAATTGAAAAATCGAGAAAAGAAATCGAAAAATTTTCAAATTCGAAAAACCGAAATGTCGGGAAATCGAAAATTGAAAAAATTTTAGAATGAGAAAATCGAGGAATTGAGTTTTTGTTCCAGTTTTTTGTTTTCTTTATTTTTTCGATTTTTCTGTGTTTGGATTATATAATTTTTTGTTTTTTCAATTTAAATTTTGTTTGCTTCTTCAATTTTCCGATTTTTTTTTTTTTCAATTTTTGGATTCAGCAATTTTTCGATTTGCAAGCTTTCGTTTCGGTTTTTTATTTTTATTTATTTTTTCAATTTTTCAGTGTTTGGGTTGTATAATTTTTTGTTTTTTCATTTTTCCTTCTTCAATTTTCCGATTTGAATTTTTTCTATTATGACTTTTTTTGTTTCTTCAGTTTTGGGATTCTTCAATTATTCATTTCGGTGTTTTATTTTCTTTATTTTTACAATTTTTCGATTTGCGCTTTTCTATTTTTCATCGTTTTTGTTTCTTTAATTTTACGATATGCTACTCTCTGAATTTTCCTTTTTAAATTTTTCAGTTTTTGTATTTTCCAAGTTTTGCATGTTTCAATTTTTCGGTTTATCAATGTTCTGATTTTGTTTCTTTCTTCAATGGAAAAATTTTCAATTTTTTAATTTTTCGTTTTTTTCAGTTTTAGATTTTTAAGTTTCTTAATTTTTCAATTTTTTGTTTCTTCAATTTTTGATTCACAATTTTACTAATTTTCATTTCAAATATGTACTAATAATAAATAATAATATTCATTTTTCCATTTTTCATTTTTTTTTCTCGATATTTAATTTTGCAGCTTTGTCGATCTTTCAGTGTTTTTCGACTTCACAATTTTGAGGATTCTATAATTTTTCGATTTTACAATTTTTAACTTTCGCGTTTTTCTTCTTTCCAATTTTTCGTTTTTTCAGTTTTTCAGTTTTTTTAGTTTTTCGATTTTTCAACTTTTCGATAAAAAAAATGAAAACACGAAAAAGTATTAAACGAAAACTTTGAAAAATCTCAAAACTAGAAGTCAAGAATTTGAAAACTGAAGAACCGAAAAATTGAGAAAAATCGAAAAAGCGAAGTGTATTGTAAAATCGAAAGTTAGATAATTGAGAAATATAAGAACTGAAAAATCGAAAAGTTGAAACATCGGAAGATCGAACAATGGAAATATCAAAAATACGAAAAATTGAGAAATTAGAAAGTCGAAAAATTTTTAAAAACGAAAAACTGTCGCGAAATTGGAAAAATTCAGATTTAAAAAAATAAAAAAAACTGGAAATCGGAACATCTAAAAATCGTAAAATTAGAAACTGAAAAAATTAAAAATTGAACAAGTCAAAAATTTTAAATTAAAAAAAACAATTTAAAAATTGCCAAAATTGAAATGTTGAAAATGGAGAAATCAAAAACTTGAAAATTCGAGAAATGAAATCGAAAATTTTCGAAATCGATTTTCCGTTTCTATTTTTTATTTTCCTTATTTTTTCAATTTTTCAGTGTTTTGTTTTTTCAATTTTAATTTTTTTGCTTGAATTTTTCGAAACACAATTCGTCCAGTTTTTTGCAATTTTTCAATTTGCCGTTTCTTCAAATTTTCGATTTGCAATTTTTCATTTCGGTTGTTTATTTTCTTGCTTTTTACAATTTTACGATATGCTACCCTTCGAGTTTTCCTTTTTAAATTTTGCAGTTTTTGTATTTTCCAACTTTTGGATGTTTCAGTTTTTCGCTTCTTTTCCAATTTTTTTTTTTCATTGTGAATATTTTCAATTTTTGGATTTTTCCATTTTTGAAATTTTAGATTTTTTAATTTTTCGTTTTATCAATTTTTGATTTGCAATTTTACTAGTTTTGAGTATAATAAAATTTTTCAATTTTAGGATTTGAGAATTTTTCCATTTTTATTTTTTTTTTTTTCTCCATATGTATTTTTTCAGTTTTTCGATCTTTCAGTGTTTCAGTTTCTCGACTTTACAATTTTGAGGATTCTATAATTTTTTGATTTTACAATTTTTGGCTTTTTCCACTTTGTCACTCTCGCGTTTTTCTTCTTTCCAATTTTTCGTTTTTTCAGTTTTTCCGATTTTTTTCGATTTTTCAACTTTTCGAAATAAAAATGGAAAAAAGGCAAATTTAGAAAATTGAAAAATCGAAAGATTAAAAATTGAGAAATTTAAACATCGAAAAACTGCAAAATCGAAAGAACGAAACGTGTTGTAACATCGAAATTTTGAAAATTAAAGAAATCGGAAAATTGGATCATTGAGAAACATAAAAATTGAAAATTCGATCAACTTAAAAATCGAAAAGTTGAAATATCGAAAGATTGAGCAATTGAAAATTTGGAAAACCGAAAAATTAAAAAGTCCAAAAATTTAAAAAAATGAGAAACCGAGATGTCGAGAAATTGACAATTCGAAAAATTATAATATTAAAAAAAAATTAAGAAACGGGAAATCTAAATATTTAAAAATGGTAAAATCAGAAAACTGAAAAATAAGGGAGTCGAAAAACTGAATATTCGAAAAATTAAAAACTTGAAAAATCGAGGAATGAAGCCGAAAAATTTTTAAAATCGAAAAATTAATTTTTCGTTTCAGTTTTAAATTTCCTTAATTTTTTCAATTTTCAGTGTTCCGATTATATAATTTTTTGTTTTTTCAATTTTCTTTTTTTTTGGCGTCATCAGTTTTCCGGTTTGAATTTTTTCAATTTTTCTTCTTTTTTTTTGTTGCTTTAGTTCAGAGAATTTACAATTTTTCGATTTTTCAAATTTTCGATTTGCAATTTTTCGTTTCGGTTTTTTATTTTTTGTTTTTAAATTTTTCAGTTTTTGTGTTTTCCAACTTTTTGAATGTGTCAGTTGTTAGATTTTGCAATTTTTCAATTTTCCAACTCATTTCATCAATTTTTCTTTTTTGCAATATCCAACTCTTTATTTTCTTTTTTTTGACATTTCCGATTTTTCAGTGTTCTGATTTTGTTTCTTTTTTCAATGTGACAATTTTCAAAAATTTAAAAATTGGAAAATCGAGAAATTGAAAAATCAAAAATTGAGATTTTGAAAAATTGAAAATGGAAAAGTACAAAGTCTAAAAATACATTGAAAAAATAGGGAAAAGGAAAAATTGTGATATAAAATCGAGAAGTTTCACAATTGAGAAAACAAAAAATTGAAAAAATGAAGAAAATAGAACTAAAAATTGTAGAATCAAAAAGTAATGAAATCGAAGGAAAAGAAAAAACGAAAAATTGTGGTCGAAAAATTGAAAAATAAAAAAATTGGTAAATTGAAGAATAAAAATGAAGAACCTACAAAATTCGAAAATTAAAAATTGAATTACTAAAAAATCGAAAAATTGAAAAAATTAAAGTCGAAAAAACGAAAAAGTGTGATATCAAAAAATTGATCGAAGCTAATTAAATAGTAATTCTCCATATTCTCCAAAATCTGTAGCTTGGAATTTAAAGACTTTAGAAACCTTACTACAGTTAGAGAAACCCGAAAATCTATAAAATGTAGCAAGTCCAGAGTTTACAGATCTTTGAGAATATAGAGACTCTAGACAACTTAAACAATCTTGGCAATTTAGGGATTCAAGAATCTACAGAGAATTTGGAGAGTCTAGGGAGTTTGTAGAACCTTCAGACCATAGAGAATCGAGAGAACATAGACACCTTATTTAATACCTAGAAACCCTAGAGTGTATACAGTCTAAAGAACCCATAGAGTCTAAAATTCGGTGTGACCAGATTTTTCACATGTGTGCAAAGACGAAATAATAGTCCTTTAACTAGGACGCTGTCTAAAACCTTGTCCGCCTTGCAGGGTGACCAAGTCTACAAATCCGTCTTCATAATCTTCTTCCAAGGAGATCAGCTAAAAACACGCGTGAAAAAAATCTGTGAAGGTTTCCGTGCGACGCTCTACCCATGCCCTGAAGCTCCCGGTGATCGCCGGGAGATGGCAATGGGTGTGATGACGCGAATCGAAGATCTTAACACCGTAAGTACCACATTTTACACGCACCCTTCACTCACGTCACTTTTTGACAGGTTCTGGGTCAAACTCAAGACCACAGACACCGGGTGCTTGTGGCCGCGGCCAAAAACATAAAGAATTGGTTCGTGAAGGTTCGCAAAATCAAAGCAATCTACCATACTTTGAACCTGTTCAATCTCGACGTGACGCAAAAATGTCTCATCGCGGAGTGCTGGGTACCCGTGTTGGATTTCGAGAATATCCAGCTCGCTTTGCGAAGAGGTACTGAGCGAAGCGGTAGTTCCGTGCCGCCGATTTTGAACCGAATGGAGACCTTGGAGGATCCTCCTACTTACAACCATACGAACAAGTTCACCAGTGGTTTCCAGACCTTGATTGATGCTTACGGGATTGCTTCATACAGAGAGATGAACCCGGCACCGTACACCATTATCACCTTCCCATTTTTATTTGCTGTGATGTTCGGTGATCTGGGGCATGGGTCTTTGATGGCAATATTCGGGGCATGGATGGTCCTTAAGGAAAAACCTCTGGCTGCTAAGAAATCGGACAATGAGGTAGGGAATTGTGACCGCAGTTTGAAGATTGTACGAATTTTTTGCAGATATGGAATATTTTCTTCGGTGGACGATACATTGTACTTCTGATGGGTCTATTTTCCATGTACACGGGCCTTATTTACAATGATGTGTTTTCTAAGTCGTTGAACATATTTGGTTCCAATTGGCATACTAATTATAGCGCTAGTTTTGTTTTGTCGGTGCAAGATAAAATGATTGATCCTGCAGACGACGGCGGCTATGACGGGTATCCGTACCCTATAGGGATGGACCCGGTTTGGCAGCTCGCAAAGAACAAGATTATTTTCCAAAATTCGTTTAAAATGAAAATTTCGATTATTTTAGGAATCATTCATATGTTGTTTGGCGTTTCAATGAGTCTTTTTAATTACACGTAAGAAAATTGTCAAGTGTATCACCGCATAATAACACTGTGTTACAGGTACTTCAAAAATAAGTTAAGCATCATCTGCGAATTCGTTCCTCAAGTCATTTTCTTGGTTTTCTTGTTCTTTTACATGGTGCTTCTCATGTTTATTAAATGGTTTATGTACTACCCAACTAATGTGGGTGAGTATTTTCCATTTTGAAAACTATCATAACGGAACCAAGAAATCAGTGTATGATATACATTATTTATGTTTACAGAATCGGAAATCAAGTACAGTCCCCGATGTGCTCCTTCCATTCTTATCACATTTATCAACATGGTATTGAATAAAGAGACCATTGTTGACCCAGAATGTGACGCAAATATGTACGCTGGTCAAATACCAATCCAGAAGTTGCTATTCGCATGCGCTGTGATCTGCGTTCCATGGATGCTTCTTGCGAAACCCCTTTACATCATGCGGAGCCGCCGTAAGATGAATTATTCTGTAAGTATCTGCGACTGTTGTTCTGTGTTCTACACTACATCACCGCTAGTTTTAAATATTAATTCATCGGGATGGAACTACCTTGGGGTGACCTGAAGTACCCTTGCGCCAAACGAAGCGTTGCATATTGAAAAATCTAGAAACTTTTACCTTACCTCGGTTTGCTTGTCAAAGTTATTTACGCAAAGTAGAGATTTTTGAATTGATTTAGAATTTTGGATTGAATTAGCAGTAGTATCAGCAAACAACAAAATCTTACAGACTACTAAACTGATTGCTCATCTATTTATTCATCCCCTCTACAGTACTTGATGACGTCATCTCAAAATTTCCAAGATAAGTCTTGCGTAAAATTTATCATCTGAGACGTTCGTTTGTGTATTCATGTTTGCTACGTGCACAGGTTATCGTAAAAAATAAATAAAAATTGTAAAAGAAAATAAAAAAGCAGATTTAATATGCGAACATTATATTTAAATAAATAAATAAATATTAAAAAGTGTGCGTCAAGATGCAACTTCCACTTAGTAATAAATAAATTAATCAATTTTGTGATTAATTAAACAACAGTTTATTGTATTTTTTCATAATTCTGGATACAGTACAATTTTTATTTACCAAGCGTTTTTAGTAGACAGATATTCTCCAAAACTACCCACGGATTGTTCTTAAATTTTATATGTATTTTCATCATTTTGAGTAGTTAAGGTTGTCTAAATCCTATGAAATAATATACTCTTGTACTCATGGTTTATGGATCCACCCACATTTTTATCACAATTATTTTGCAATTTTTTGTGCAATATTTTATTTGGTGATCGAATCACAACCTTGGCACATGTTTTTTTTTTCACTATGACTTGTAATATCTGTATTTCTTACTTATAAGGGTTATAAAAAAGTTTAATTTTATAGTTTTTCGAAGAATCTGTATTTGTTCGCCTGTACGTCAGGGGTGAAGGAAGTTCTGTCTAAAGAAGTTTTGTATTAGTTTCTAAAATCTTGCGTTTTGAGGTTATCATAAGTATGGTACATCGTAATGCTACACTTGTGGTTTATGAATCTACCTTCAAAGATCCAGATTTTTGTGGAAAAATCAAAATTGTACTACATTTTCAATTTATATTTGGGGATGGAACATCGAATAGTTCGAAATTTCATAGACCTTTCAAGGTTATCCTAATCATGGTAAATTGATAATGAAACTTTATCTACCCCTGCACTTGTGGTTTATGAGTGAGCTTTTACCTTAGATATCCAGGTTTCAAAAAAATAAATTAAATTTTATATTTGGTTTGGAAATTAAAAAAACTTGAGCTTTTTTCTAAAAAAAGCTGAGATGTAGATTTCAACGTGATAATTCGAAAAATCTAAAGGTTTTATTGTTCCCGAGATGTTTTAAATATTCGGTTTGAAAATCAAATTGTTTAATAATCCTAAAAATTGCCATTTCGATTATTGGCGATTCTGCAAAAATGGTAGGTATTTCTAAGGGTTGACTTCTACAAAAAAAATTGTCTTCAGGTTATTTCCAAAGATGGTCTAAAATTATACAAAATTTCATAAGCTGTTGAAAAATTATGCTTTCAGAAAAATACCCTAAAAAACGCAAAAAAATCTGAGATATTTTTGATCTCGACGTGCTTATTAAAAAAAACTTCTGGTCCAGAACCAAAATTCGAGTGAATTTTTTTTTAAATCTCAAAATTTAAAACTAATTTTCTAGGCACTAAAGATTCTGGAGGTTCTAAATATTCTAGAGATTCTAAAGATTCGAGGAATTCTAGAAATTCCAAAAATTCCAGAGATTTTAGAAATTCTACATGTTTTAAGGATTCTAGAAATTTTGGAGATTCTGAAAATTTTAGAGGTTCTAGACATTCTAGAGACAATTGTGGAGAAACAAAAGATTCTGGTTCTAAAGATTCTAGAAATTCTACATGTTTTAAGGGTTCTAGAAATTTTGGAGATTCTGAAAATTTTAGAGGTTCTAGACATTCTAGAGACAATTGTGGAGAAACAAAAGATTCTGGTTCTAAAGATTGTAGAAATTTTAGAAATTCCAAAAATTCTAGAGATTCTTGACACTTTGGAAATTCTAAAGATTTCAAGAAATCCAGAAGTTCCAGAAATTCTAGATATTCTAAAGATTCGAAATTCTAGAAATTTCAAATTGTCTAGAGGTGCTAGAAATTTTGGAGATTTTCTAGAAAATCTTCAATCTAAAGATTCTAGGCATTATAGAGAAAATCATAGAGAGGCAAAAGATTCTGGATTCTAAAGATTCTATAGGTTCTAAGGATTTAAGATATTCTAAAAATTCTATTCTAGAAAGTCTTGAAATTTTCGTGAATCTGAAGATGTTAAAAATTCTAAAGAGTCCAAGAAATCCAAAGTTTCAAAGTTTACCAGTTCCAGAAATTCTAGAGATTCTAGACGTTTTAGAGATTGTAGAGGTTCTGGGGATTCTCTAGGTGCTAAAGATTCTGGAGATTCTAAAGATTCGAGAAATTCTAGAAATTCCGCAGATCCTAAAAGTACCAAGAAATCCACAGTGGTTCCAGCAATTCTAGAGATTCTAGAGGCTCTAGAGGTTTTAAAGAATCTCGAAGCTGTTGAAAATCTGGAAATACTAAAAATTCTGCAATTATAAAGATTCGGGGAATTCTAGAAATTCCAAAAATTCCAGAGATTCTAGAAATTCTATATATTCTAAGGGTTTTAGAAATTTTGGAAATTCTGAAGATTCTAGAGGTTCTAGACATTCTAGAGATAATTATAGAGGACAAAATATTCTGGATTCTAAAAGTTCTAGAAGTTCTAATGATTCAGGAGATTTTAAGGATTCAAGAAATTCTAAAAATTCCAAAAATTCAAGAGACTCCAAAGTTTCAAAGTTTACCGGTTCCAGAAATTCTAGGTATTCTAAAAATTCGAAATTCTAGAAATTTCAAAGTGTTTAGAGGTGCTAGAAATTTTGGAGATTTTGAAGATTCTAGAGAAAATCATGGAGAGTTAAAATATTATGGATTCTAAAGATTCAAGATATTCAAAAAATTCCAAAAATTCGAGAGACCAAAGATTCTAGAAATCTTGAAATTTTCATGATTCTGAAGATGTTAAAGATTCTAAAGAGTATGTGAGAGCAAAGTTTTAGAGCTTACCGGTCCCAGAAATTCTAGAGATTCTAGTGGTTTTAGAGCTTCTAAAGGTTCTGGTAATTCTAACTCAGGCGGTTCCAGTAATTCTAGGGATTAGAGATTCTAAAGCTTCGAACAATTTCTACAAGTTCTAGAGATTCTAGAGATTTTGAAGATTCTGGTGAATCTGTAGATGTTTGTTAAAGATTCTAGATGTTCTAAAAATTCTAGGAGTTTTAGACGTGTTAGAGATTGTAGAGGTTCTGGGGATTCTGTAGGTACTAAAAATTCTGATATTCTAGAGGCTCTAGAGGTTTTACAGAATCTCGAAGCTGTGGAAAGTCTGGAAATGCTGAAAATTCTGCAGATTATAAAGATTCCAGGAATTCTAGAAATTCCAAAAATTCCAGAGATTCTAGAAATTCGATGTTTTAAGAGTTCTAAAAATTTTGGGAATTCTGAAGATTATAGGGGTTCTAGACATTCTAGAGATAATTATAGAGGGCAAAATATTCTGGATTCTAAAGGTTCTAGAAGTTCTAATGATTCAGGAAATTCTAAGGATTCATGAAATTTTCGAGATTCTGAAGACGTTAATGATCCTAAAGAGTCCAAGAAATCCGAAGTTTCAAAGTTTACCGGTTCCAGAAATTCTAGGTATTCTAAAAATTCTAGAGTCTAGTGGTTTTAGAGCTTCTAGAGGTTCTGGAAGATTCTAGAGATGCTAAAGATTCTGGAAATTCTGACTCAAGCGGTTACATTAATTCTGGGGATTAGAGATTCTAAAGCTTAGAACATTTTAGAAATCCGAAAAATTTTAGATATTTTAAAGTTTTTAGAGATTTCAGAGATTCTAGAGATTATGAAGATTCTGGTGAATCTGTAGATGTTTGTTAAAGATTCTAGATATTCTAAATTTAAAACAAAAATACAAGTCTATACAAAAAATGAGACATTTGTCCAGCATGTCGTGCAAAAAAAATGGCGGTTGAATTTTTTGACAGTTAACTAAAGTTTATACGGAAGAAACATGATTTGATGGACTGTACTTTAGATGCAAGGGAAGTTCTGTCATTTTAAAAATTTCTATGTAGTTTATGCTTATTGCCACTTTGACGTTTAAAGTTTAAAATATTTTTCAAAAATAACAAATAAATAAAAAAAAAGGTTACAGTACTTAGAATCTTGCACTCTGTGACAGTCAAATGACATTGACGTCGAAAATTTTCTACTCCCCACTCTAGAAATCGAAGTTTATAGTAGTTATAATTCTTTCAATTTTGGCAAGATATTGTAAAACGGTATGTTTCTGTTTCTGTCTTCATCGGACACACTGTATTTAGACAAATATATTTTTTAAATGATGCTGTTGACCCTTTACTTGACAGTTATTTGACCATAACGAAATTTATTAATGCATTCATATATTTTTTTACTTTATTACAGTGTGTCAGAAAAAATCCTAAAGGTAAATTTAATATATGCATTGAAACTCTTTTTTTTTAGATCATACAGTTTGCTATATTTCAATTCACGATTCTGGAAAAAAATTTGCCTTATTGTCACTTTAACGTTTGACGTTTAAAAGATTTGTCAAATCTGACAAACTATAAAAATAAGGTTACAGTACTTAAAACGTTACACTATGTGACAGTCAAATGACATTGACGTCCCCGATTGTAGAAATCGAATTATATATTATATTTTTTTAATTTCAAGGTGCTCTAAAACGGTATGTTTCTGTTTCTGTCTTCGTCGAACTCACTGTATTTAGGCAGGTACATTTTTTAAATAATGCTGTTGACTCTTTAATTGACAGTTATTTGACCGTAACTGTCAAACTGAACAAGGAACGGTGTTGGTAACGTTCGTATTACCAACGTCATTATTTTAAAAATCATTGCGCAGCCTACTGAAGAGCTTTTTTTTCGAGCATATGCTACTTAACGTAAGTACTAAGTGTACCAATCAGAAACGAACGTCTTGAGCATGCGCACTCAACTTGAGTCATTACACCTATATTTTTATGTCGTTTGTTTCACCAGGTTTCGCACCAGCAAATGCAAGCAGCAACAGGAAACGGTGACGCCGAGCAACCAATTCACAACAACACTGCTCAACCTATCGTTGGCCATGGTGGTGGACATGACGAAGAGGAAGACCTCGGCGAAATGTTCATCCACCAGGGAATTCATACAATAGAGTATGTACTAGGTTCCGTTTCTCACACGGCATCCTACCTTCGATTATGGGCTCTTTCGTTGGCTCATGCTCGTAAGTTCGACAAAATTTTAAACCGCACAAACTCAACATAAATTTCTAGAATTGTCTGAAGTCTTGTGGGGCATGGTTTTGAACAAGGGCCTAGTTGTCGACGGATGGTTGGGTGGAATAGTTCTCTACGTTATTTTTGCTTTTTGGGCATGCTTGACCGTGTCCATCCTAGTTTTGATGGAAGGGCTTTCAGCCTTTCTGCATACTTTACGTCTTCATTGGTAACTCTTACTTGTTACAAAGTCGGCGCAAGTTATAACTGGTTTTTTTTGCAGGGTTGAGTTCCAGAGTAAATTTTATGCGGGTCAAGGCTACGCCTTCCTGCCGTTTTCGTTCGAAAATCTTCTGGATTCAGCATCACAAACCGCTGAAGAATAAGTTTATTTATTTTATTTAGAACATTTTATCGTAGTTATTTTTTATTTACAACTCTTTTTATATACTCTTGTCATTCATACAGGTAACGTCGTACTTAAAACTCATCGCGCTAATTTAAAATAAAAAATATGACATGCAACACCGATTTAGGAAATCGTACTAACGGAGTGTGTTACGCAGTACTCAGTAATACTGGAAAACTGGGTGCACACTTCCTTTCAGTGCAAAAACTGATGATTGAAGGGTTTTCAAACATCTACTTGGTGTAATTCTAATTGTTAATCGTAAGTTCGTGTTGTGCTTCTTTGTAGATACTGCATCTCTGTGTCGTTGTGTATTTGTAACTTAGCATAAGATCTTTTGAAAACCTAAAGATCAAAAACAACTAGTGGCAAAAAAAGAGCTGATTTGTTAGCTTTCTATTAACACTTGAGGTTAGTAGAAATGACAATATACTACCCTACTACATTTTGGCAAGAAGCCGATATTGTGGTTCTCGCTTCTTATCAAAGATGTCTACTACGATGAATACTAGCTAGATAGCTGGTTGCTTACGAACTAATGTAAGCAAAATTGAACAATAACAACGTTCAAGGCGAAAAAGTACGTGAATAACAATGTAGAACTAACGTGCGTCGACATTGTTTTTCATGGGCGGAGGATATTTTTAGTTTTATTCCCCAAATTTATCATTTTGAACGAATGCATGAGCGAACAGAAGAGTAAAATTAAGTTAAACTATTGTAATGTTTAATATTGTGAATAATAATTCACAGTATTAAACAGTGAATGAACTTATACAACATGAAACAATAAGAGAATAAAATATATACTGAGTTATTTTGTGTCTGTTTTACACTTTTAATGAACATAGCCAATATAGTGTGATAACCCAAACTTCCCGCCTTAAAAATTGACCTTGAAACAGTTTGAAAGGTCCGCGAAAAATTCAAAAATTCAAAGTTTGGCCTTGGCTGTGATCGTCTAACAAATGAGAACCTACGTTGTGTGTTTTTTTTTTTTGTTTTTGATTTTGAAAAATGGCGGGAAGACGTTCTTTCATACAAGTGCATACACTGTCGAGAGCGCAAGAAATAATAGGCAAAATTAGGTTGGTCAAAAGCCTTCCTAAGGAGGAAAAAGAAACGAAGAACGACAGACGCTCGAATTGCCCTTCTGGCGAGTCCGCAGGGCCAAGGTGTCATCGGTCTTCGCTCCCCAAAACCCCCTGGGGTTTTATTCACCGACATATTACATGTCAAACACCTTAAGATATGTGAAAGAAAAACACTCGCGAATTGACAGACATACACATGAAAACCGAACAAACACAAGACCTACACATATGTAAATTGGATGGCAGAACCCGAATCATTATGAGAGTGTGGCGATCGAACAATCATAGAACAAAATATAGCAATTTCATTTATGAGCACAGCAAAATACCCAGAGGAGGCGTTGTAGCGCAAGTAGAGGTTGGGACTCCTGATCGTCACTGTTCTCCCCCACGACGGTGATTCTATCTACACCAACGCCTGCTCACACGCATCTCTCCATTACGAACGTGCCCTGCGAAACGAGGCGGTTACGATCGCAGATCCGTAGTGGGGTCCTGGCTATGGACAGAAGCCGACAGCGTTAAAAACCCGCGATCGCCCCCTGAAGCTATACAACACCCGCGGACTTGTGCAGGTGACACGATTAATCCCGTCAGTTTGAGAAGGAGTCGCGCGCCCCACGTACACTACGAGTTATGTGTTATTTACCTTAATTTCATTTAAATGTTCAATCTCTATGACTCTAATATTAAATGACAACCGAACAAGTGTTAAAGTTTCAGCAAAGAGCAATAAACAACATTTAAATTCGCCACACACTCTTACGAAAATTCAACAACAAATAATTCTTAATTGAGATTAAATTTGGACATCAGATAATTTACATGATAGAAATATTCATCAACAAAATATTTACATAATCAAAATTTAGCAAAGATTTATTAAAAACAAGATCTGGTGTGAAATAAGCTTGTGCAAATAAAATATCATGTTAGGTCAAAACTGTAGAGCATGGAAATTTACGTTCAATTCAAATTATACAGCAAAGAAAATTACTGAAGCTAAAATTGTGAGACAAAGACAAATTGCATGAGGTGAAAGATTGTAAAGTTAACAGATTTACATGTGATTAATATTAATTCGTGTCCAGTCAAGTTATTGGTTAAAATTCAAACGTGAAATTATTTAGCTGCATTGTGGGCCATTATTACACATACATTTCCCCAAACAAAACACATAAACAAACATGGCAGACAAGCTGCAGTTGCAAAATGGCGTTGGACGAATTCGTCATTCCAAATAATAGGCGTCGAAAATGTGCGATGCAAAAATACGATGAATCCTGTGGCGTTGTATAAACGATGTGCTAAATCCAAAGAATAAAGGCACGTCCCCCCATGACCCACAATGTTGTTATTTTGTTCAATAGATTCAGTTAAAACATGTGCTCGATTAAAAGAAACAAATGGACGCTTCAAAATGGCCGCTGCCTGAACAAAGAACGGTGAAAATAACAACTCGTTTGCCGCCATCCAAAATACAGATTTCACAAATATAGCTAAATAAAGCATGGCCCGAACTAGAAATCACTTCCTGTAAAGCCCTACTGCGATGGATTTTAAATGAAAGATAAAAAAAACGAGATTAGTGGAGGTGAGTCACGAGGTCAGAAGCATCGTCGGGGCTTGAAACTCGCCGCGAAACAGGACCCAGTCGAAAACGTGTTCAAAACATACCTCTCCAAAGATGCGAAGATTTCGACACGGCTTACCGCCCAAAAGGAACGCAAAAAACCTCGTCGTAAGAACGATGAGAAATCAGGAACACCCAATGGTTAAACGGGGGCTGCTAGGTTTCCCAATGGAACGGATCAACACTGGAAACGCTTGAGTCACACTCTATAAGAAATTTAAAAACGTTTTATGTAATGATAAATCACAAGTATAGAGTCATATTTTGTACATTTTGGATAGGATTTAAGTATTTGGCAAAATTTTTAGATAACGTAATCAATTTTTGGGGTTGATGAACAGATAGATTTTGCATAACGATTTACCATGATTACGATAACCTTAAAATATTTACAAGATTTTAGAGCATTCGGTTTTGCAGTTTCAATTCAAAGTTGTATTGCAAAATATTGTTATTCAGTTTTGAATTTTTTGCAAAAATTTTGGATGTTTAGGGTGAAAATTCGACACGGATTCACACACCACAAGTGCAGGATGAGTAGCTTATTTTATGAAATTAAAAAAAACTTTTTATTTTAAATTTTGAAGATTGCGTCATCCTATGAGTGGTGGGGACGATTAGCCAAATTTTAGTTGGTATTAAATCATCTACATGATATTCCTAATATATATATACAAAATTTGACAACAATCGCTCCAGTAGTTTCGGAGATTACTTGTCTAATAAAAATGGATAAAGACAGACAGACGGAAACGGGAGACCTATTTCTTCGTACTCTAGGGGTCATGAAAGGTCCAGGAAACGTAAAAGTAGAGAGTCGGCCGACGGACTCGATTAGAATACTTCCTTCGCTTAGGCTGAGGAAGTAAAAATTGACAGAAAATAAAAAAGATAAAAATAATGAAAAAAAAGACAAAAACAAATGTGAAGGGAAACTGCCAAAAAGCGAATAAAAATGAAAGTAACAAATAGATAAATGGGACAAATGAAAAGCTACCAAAAACAGAAAACTGAACAAAAGAAGCGAAAACTTGTGGAAAATTTTAATTTAAAAATTGGTCTAAAGAGTTTAGACAGTACTTCCCTCGCTGTCGGAAACGTGACGACTGCATGCCTATTATGTTTTTTTTTTCGCATTAGATTTCAAAGCATTCGGTTTTGTAGTTCCTGGTTAAATCATCACCCTGTATATCCAAATCAAAAAAATATTAATGGAATGATAAATTACAAGAAGAGACTCATCATATTTTGTACATTTTAGATAGGATTATTCGGCAAACTTTTGAGCTGACGTCATCAATTTTTTGGAGGGGATAAGCAAATATATTTTTACTAAAAATTTATTATGCTATTTGTAACCTTAACACATTTGCAAGATTTCAAAGCATTCGCTTCTATAGTTCCTGATTAAATCAATAAAATAAATTTACCTATTCATTAATTTTTTGGGTCACCTGTATATGCAAATCTAAAAAATATGAATGGAATGATAAATCACAAGAAGAGACTCATCATATTTTGTGCATTTTAGATAGTATTTATTCATCAAAATTTTGGGGTGGCGTCATCCATCTTTTAGAGGGGATGAGCAAATATATCTTGATCAAAAATTTACCATGCGTATGATAAATTTAAAACATTTCCAAGATTTCAAAGCATTCGGTTTTGTAGTTCCTGATTAAATCAAGAAAATAAATTTGCGCGTTCATTAAATTTTTTGAGTCACCTGTATATGTAAATCCAAAAAATATGAATGGAATGATAAATTACAAGGAGAGACTCATCATATTTTGTACATTTTGTTCGCCAAACTTTTGAGCTGACGTCATCAGTTTTTTGGAGGGGATAACTAAATACATTGTGATTAAAATTTTATCATGCTTATCATAACTGTAAACCATCTGCAAGATTTCAAAGCATTCGGTTTTGTAGATTCCAAATTAAATGTCAAAATGTTGTTTCATAATTTTGATTCTTTTTTCAAAAATCTGGACGTTTAAGGTAAAATCTCAATTCGGAGTTATAAACTACATGTGTAGGAATATGTTATTTGATACAATTTAACTACTAGTAAGGCCCCTTCACAACACAATACGTTTTTAATGCTTTTAACCTGGTTTTCAAAGTAACTTTTGAAAAGTTAAAATTTTTAAAAGAAATTGCCCGGTTTTTCGAAGTCACCCCTTTTTAAAAAGTCAAAATTTTAAGAAGTGTATCCTGTTTTATCAAACGTGAATATGGTTTCGGCCAAGAAAAGTTACCATTTAAAAACATTTAAAACCCGTCTTTTTACCTTGGTATTTCAACAGTCTTCTTAATTAAAAGTTAAAATTCCCCTTTTTACTGTTTTTTGTTGGGCCACTTCAGCACAAAAATGAATACGGTTTCGTTCAAACAAATTCACCTTTTAAAAACACTTAAAATCAGTGAGGGGCAAATTGTCCCCCACTGATATTCTACTGTAAATCCAAAATTATCGTAATTTATCATAGTTATATTTGTGTTTACGTGTTTTTTTGTTGGTCCGCTTCAGCACAAAGATGAATCTCTGACCACTGAATTTGCCAGACGTAACAAAAACCTGCATTTCAATTAAGATTTATTAGTTTTTAAATGTATATTCAAAAAAGCAAATACCTATCAGGTCATGCATCATAAAAACTTATAGGGCAAATTCAGGTTTTATCCTTTCATCACTTATCTTATCATGCAATGGAATGACATCCAGTTGAATCAAAAAAGGATTTTCAACTGCATACACAATAAGTAACTGCAACTTTACGTATTGTTTATACATTTTTATTTTAATACATACATAATTTGATTAAATTAAATAAATAAATTTAGGATTCTCTTGGTGGGCTAGGAGTCCACTCCCTAGAACTGTAGCAAGAAAACTAAAAATGAAAACTATTGTTTGGTTTTACTTACATTTCTCGATTGAAGTGAATCTTGTCTTCCACTGATTCGAATTCATTAGTTCCCAAATCTAATCCGTGGAGAATTAACGTAACTTTCTTTCCGTCTCTCTCAATATAATGCTCTCTTCGTAGAACACAACACTTTTTAAGCATTTTATCTCCTGTTTTT